GAGATGGATTGATTTGGTGACTGGGGTAATCGGGATGGGTGTGTCAGCGGCGGTGCGGTTGGCGCAGGATAGAGCAGGGTTTAGGGCTATTTTGCATAGGGTCGCTATGAGTCGGGAAACGACTCGAAGGCACATAACAACAACAACAACATAACAACAGACCCTTAAATGGTGAGAACTAAATTTCTGTTTGTCAGTATCACCCACTTATGGTATTTCTTTTTTAATTTAGGTTGTTTATTTTTCATTTCAATGAACATCTACAGAGATTTTGGGATTCCATTCATTCATTGTTGCACCCTTCTTTTGGTATTTCTTTTACAGTAGCATTAGATAACTAAGACAGAGGCCTCTGGAGGAACTATGGCGATATTGGGAGTTCTTGTGTTATGTGCTGAAATGCTAACCAAAAAGTCCATAGGTGAAATCCACCAGCAGCTTGATGGGATAAGGAGGAGGCAGTGTGCTCCTGTTAAGGTTTACAGCCTCAGAAACCTGATAGAGCAGTGCCCTGTGTCGGAATACATTCAACAGCAGTGGTTTTATTTTTTTATGTTTTATGTATATTTTTAAATTTTATTTATTTATTTATGGGTTTATTTATTTATTTATGTTTCTATATTTTGTTTATTTATTGATTTGGGTAGTACAAAAGAAAGGTGCTTGTCTGCTACCGGAAACGTTAGAATTTCAAGTTTACCAGGGGCACCTTGGAATAAAGGGTTGGTGATCTGTTTCTCAAAAACAATCAGCCATTAAATATCCTGTGGACTATCATTATATTCCAATACAAAGCAGATAATCATGAGTAAGAAACAACTCTGAGGCAATGGTAATAATGTCTATTCACTAATGCTGAGTGGCATTCATATGGGCTCTGTCTATTCTGCTGACCGTTTAGCTATTCAGTTTTCAACATAATCACATTTCTGCTTATTTTAAATGCAATAAAGTCCTGGAGAATAAGCATTTCATAAGCATTATAGATTTCTTAAGTTGAAAGAAGTAAAGAATAAATTCAAGTCACGA